AAAAAATCAAGAAAGGAAGTAACCAGTTTAAAAGATGGGCTAAGGAGCTGAAAAGAGAGTTCTCAAAAGAAGACATAAAGATGGCTAAGAAGCACCTTAAAAGGTGTTCAACATTGTTAGTCATTAGGGAAAATGCAAATTACAACCATTTTAAGATTTCTTCTCACCCCAGTCAGATGTAGTGGAAAAATTCACGAGGGTGCAGATACCTTTGTAAGTAGCTCCTCACCTTCATCGTACACTGTGTTACCAAGCCCAATAAATCTTGTTGTTCCCTTACCTGTAGCTTGGAGGAATATTGGCTCTGCTTATCATAAGGAGACTAGGAGGAAGGGGCCACAATGGGAGCCTGGAAACTGCTCACACCTCCCAGCAGTAAGTTTAGCTTACAATATAGAACACCAATTAGACATGATCAGAACAGAAAGTCCCAATGGCATATCACAGTAAAAACATTAAGTGTACAGGACAAAGAGGGGGTACTGAAAGCTGCTAGAGGAAAACAAGCAGCTACATATAAAGGAAAACCCATCAGAATTACAGCTGACTTTTAAAAATATTTCATTTACTATTTTTATGTGTATGAGTGTATTGCCTGCATGTATGTGAGTGCACCCATGTTGTGCAATGCCATGGAGGTCAGAAGAGGCCTTCAGATTCCCCTGGAACTGGAGTTAAGAATGGTTCGTAGCCACCAAGTGGGGGTTGGGAATCGAACCCGGGTCCTCTGCAACAGCAGCCAATGCTCTTAACCACTGAGCCATCTCTCCAGCCCTGACAACTGACTTTTCAATGCAAAGTATGAAAGCTAGAAGACCTTATACCAAAGTACTGCCAGTTCTAAACAACCATGGGTGCCAACCCCAAATACGTTATCAAAACTTCTGGCCATCTTAAATTCAGACCTAAGACTGAAGTTTCTAGCACTTACTGCCTGTTTTAACTTACTCCTTCATTGCTGTGACAAAATATTCTGACCAATACCAACTTTGGAAGGAAAAGGTTTATTTGGCTTACATATCCCAGGTCACAATTCATCAGGGAGCCCAAGGTAGGAACTCAGGGCAGGAACTTGGAGGCAGGAGACTGAGCACAGGCCATGGAGGAGCACTGCTTGCTGGTTTTCTCCCATGATTCATGATCAGTCTGCTTTCTTATACGACATAGTCCCAACTGCCAGGGGTGCCATCACCCAGAGTGGGCTGGGCCCTTCCACATCACTCAACAATCAAGAAAATTCACCTGCAAACATGGAAACAGGCTGGTCCAATGGAGGTATTTAACTGACTGAGGCTCCTTCAATGCAGGTGTGTCAAATTTATACTAAAGTTATCCAGGACAGTGCCTACATTAAAAAAAAAGAAAGAGCACATGTAAATGACTTGACAGTACAACTCAAGACTCTGTAAAGGAAGAACAAACCAACTCCAAACTTATTAGATGAGAAGAAATAACAAGAACTGGAGCATAAATTAATGCAATAGAAACAAATAAAACAATACAAAAAATCAAAAAATATAAGAGCTGGTTCTTTAAATGATTAAACAAGATAGACAGACCCTTAGCCCAATTAAACAAAATAAAGAAAGATCAAATCCAATCCAACAAAATCAGAGAAGAAAGGGGAAACATCACAACAGACATTAAAAAAAAATACAAGACATAATAGGGATATTTACAACATATACAAGATTAAATTTGAAAATCTGAAAGAAATGGATCAATTTCTAAAATGATGGTCACCACCAAACTTAAACCAAGAGGAGATCAACAGCCTAAACAGACCCATAACATTTAAGGAAACTGAAACAGTAATAAAAAACATCCAGACTAACAACATCCAGGCCCAGATGGATTCAGAACAGAATTCTGCCAGACATTCAGTGAAATCTACAATCAGTAGTGCTTAAAATATTCAAAAATACAGCAAGAGGGAAAATTCTCAAACTCTTTCTATGAAGCCAATGTCACTCTAATACCAAACAAGGTAATGATACAATGGAAAGAGAAAAATATAGAACCATATTCTTAATGAACATAGATTCAAAGATACTTAACAAAATACTCACAAACTACAAACACACGTCAAAAGATCAACAAACATGATCAACTCAGCATTATTCCAGACATGTAGGGATGGTTTAATATACATAATTTAATCAATGTAATAAAACATATAAATGCCCGTAAGATTAAAAAACACATGGTCATTTCAATAGATGTGGAGAAGGCCTTTGAGAGTATTCAACATGCATTCATGTTAAAGTCCTAGAAGGAATTGGTCTCAAGGGAACATAACTCAACATAATTAAAGCTATTTACAACAAACAATAGGCAACATCATCCTAAGTGGAGAAACCTGTAAACATTTACATTAAAATCAGGAACCAGTCACACCTGTCTACTATCTCAATTTTCTTTCAATAGAGTGCTTGAAATTCTTGCAAGACCAATAAGGCAAGAGAAGGAAATTAAAGTAGTCCCAGCTGGAAAAGAAGAGATGAAATTATCTTGATTTGCAGATGATATGATTTTAAACATAAAAGATCCCCAAAATTCTACAAAAAAAAATGTCAGAACTGATTAATGCTTTCAGTTAAAAGGCAACTTCAAAAGTCAATAGCCTTTCTCTATACCAATAACAAGCCACAGAAAATGCACTCAAGAAAACCCTCCCATTTCAGTAGCCTCAAAAAAGTTTAGGAATAAACTTATCCAAAGATATTAAAGATCTCTACAATGAAAATTTCAAAATTTTCAAAAGAAAGAGATAGAGGAAGACAATAGTACATGGAGAGATTACCATGCTCATGGATTGGTAAATTATTGTGAAAATGACCATCTTTTCAAAAGCAATTTATAGATTCAATGCTATCCCAATAAAATACCCACAATACACTTCAGGAAGTTTGAGCAAACCATCCTAAAATTCATATGGAATCTCAAAAGTTTCTGGACAGCCAAAGCAATCCTGGTCAGAAAGAACAGCACTGAGTTATGGGGCAGGAATCGCCATACCTGATCTCACAGAATATTACAGAACTATAGAAATAAAAACAGAATGGCACTGGCACAAAAGTAGACACGTAGGTTCACTGGAACACAATAGAAGACCCAAATATTAGTATGTATAATTTCAGTCACATAATATTTAACAAAGGTGCTAAGAAAACACAATGGAGGAAAGACAGAATCTACAACTAACGGTACTGGCAAAACTGGGTCTCCACCTGTAGAAAAATGAAAGTTGACCCTTATCATCACCCTGAACAAACGTCAACTCCAAATGGATCAAAGACATCAATATAAAACCTGAAACTCAGAAACTGCTAGAAGAAAACATAGACATCACCCTCCAATATATAGGTATAGGAAAGAACTTTATAAATTGGACATCAGCTGCCAAGGCACTGAGGTAAAAAATCAGTAAGTGGGACCTGATTAAATTACAAAGCTTCTGTACATCAAAAGGGAAGATGAAATCCAATGGGTGGGATAAAATCTTCATGACCTACACATCTGAGAGAGGATTGATACCCAGAATATAGAAAGAATTCAAAAAGGAAAGTAGAAAGAAAGAAAGAACCTCATAAAAAGATGGGTGATAGACCTGAACAGAGAGTTCTCAAATGAATAATTAAAAATTGTTGGGAGCCAAAAGGCCAGAAGAAAAATATCTTTATGACAGCTTTAAGGTTTCCTGAACATCTTTATGGCCTTGAGAAAAAACAGCTTTAAGGTTTCCTGCACATCTTTACGGCCTTGAGAAAAAACAGCCTTATGGTTTTCTGTAAGTTTCTATAAGTTAGCACTTAGTTAAAGAATGTAGAAAAGCAACTTGTTGACCCAGGTCAAGTCAGCTTTGAGAAATGTCTACCACAGATGTTAGTCCTGAGAAATGTTCACCATAGCCATTAGCAGATGTTCCTTTAGGATAAGAAATTAATCCTCCCTAGCTATAGCATCCACCTAACAACACCAATTAGCGTCTGCCCAGCACTTCCCTTCTCCTCACCTCCCCCTTCCCAACTACCAGTATATATGCCTGCTGCTTTCAATAAAATTTTGAGGCTTGATCAGATCCTTGTCTTGCCTCCATTTCCTCGCATTCCTTGTTTGTTTCATTCCTTCAGGTTATTCTCCCGACCCCCCCAACGTTGAAGCCCTGCAGGCCGGGGCAACTGGCGCCCAACGTGGTGGGCTTGAGGGAGACCGCCTAGAGGAACGTCAGCTACAAACAGCCTGGACAGGCACCCCTGACTCCCCGCGCTGTACTGACACATGAGAGAGAGTCTGCTCGAGATCGCCGCGGAAGAACCGACTGCGAGTCAGATCGGGAAGACACGGTAAGCTGATGCATCTTTCAAACAAGAAAAACTTGAGTCCTTTTAAGCAGTCCCTTCCTGGGACCCCAGTTTCTGTGAGAAAGACCAGCCTGCTTTGAGTAGGAGGAGCAGTGTATTGTTCCTTCTAAGCTGTCCATCAGAGATCTACGGTTACAAACAAGGCAACCGGGTCTCTCGGGTGTGTGTAAGCACGTATACTGACCAGCGAAGTTCACGCAGGAGCTTCTCACAGAGAACATGGGAAACTCTCTGAGCTCACAGGAGCAGTTCCTTGGTGGACTCAAGGAATCCCTCAGAATGCGAGGAATTAAGGTTTCAAAAAAGGATCTCAGGAAGTTCTTTCTTTTTATTCATGAGGCATGCCCCTTGTTCCCCTTAGAAGACACCATTAATCAAAACAAATGGAAAAAAATAGGAAAAGCGTTACGAAATTATTACCAAACCTTTGGGCCAAAAAAGGTCCCTGTCACTGCTTTCTCCTATTGGATTTTAATTCAGGAAATCCTTAAAACCCATCCCTTAGATCCAGATATTCAAAAAATTATTAAAACTAGTAAAAAGTCTCTTAAAAATAATACTCCACCAGTCGCAAATGAAGCACAGGCAGCCTTTCCCCAAGGGCTCCTGGCGCAGATACAAAACGCAGTGCTCAAAGCCTGGCGGCACCTCCCCCCAAAGGGGCCCACCACCTCCTCTCTGGCAAAAATACGCCAGGGCCGGGATGAGTCATACGCTGAGTTTATCAGTTGCCTTACAAGTGTGGCTGAAAGGATAGCTGGGGAATCAGAAGAAAGTGCTTTTGTAAAACATCTGGCCTTTGAAAATGCTAATTCCGCCTGCCAAGAAGCAATTAGACCCCACCTGCAAAGCACCCTTTCAGATTATATTAACAAGGGAAACAGAATTGCCCTAAGGGCCTTTTCTTATCAGTTTGAGTATTAGTATACCAAAAACAGTGTTGGAAGAGATTTCTAAATTGACAGTCTACGGTTACAAGGCGACTGGGTCTCTCGGATGTGTGTCAGCACAAATACTGACCGGCGAAGCTCACGCAGGGGCGATATTTAAGAGGCATGGGCAATACTTCTAGCTCCCAGGAACAGTTTGTTCAGGGGCTCAAGGAGTCTCTCAGTGCATGAGGAATTAAGGTCTCAAGAAAAGATTTAAAACAGTTTTTTATTTTCATCCATGACACCTGCCCCTGGTTCCCTGTCGAGGGAACAATAAATGCCAAAAAATGGGATAGAGTGGGAGATGCATTAAAAGATTATTATCAGACATTTGGGCCAGAAAAGGTCCCTGTGACTACTTTCTCCTATTGGAATTTAATTCACGATATCCTTAAAGCCCATCCCTTGGATCCAGATATTCAAGAAATTATTAAAACTAGTGAAAAGGCTCTTAAAAATAATACTCCACCAGTCACAAATGAAGCACAGGCAGTTTTTCCTCCTGGATTCTTAACACAAATACAAAACGCGGCTCTCAGAGGCTGGCGGCACCTCCCCCCAAAGGGGCCCACCACCTCCTCTCTGGCAAAGATCCGCCAGGGCCTGGATGAGTTATATGCTGAGTTCATCAGCCGCTTAACTAACGCTGCTGAAAGACTAGTGGGAGAATCCGAAGACAGTGCCTTTGTAAAACATTTGGCTTTTGAAAATGCTAATTCTGCCTGCCAAGAAGCAATTAGACCCCACCAGCAAGGCACCCTTTCAGATTATATTAAACTGTGCTCAGGAATAGGTTCCTCCCATGCCCTAGGACTGGCTATAGAAGCTGCGCTTAAGGATTTTACCAAAACCCAGCCATCTAAGTCCTGCTTTAACTGCAAGCAACCTGGACACTTTGCTAGGGAGTGTCCTACAGGGCCCTTGCCTCGCAAACCTCCAACAACTATCTGCCCCTGCTGCAAGCGAGGATACCATTGGGCCAATGAGTGCCGCTCTAAAACAGATCATGGAGGTAAAATCATTCCACCCAGGTCGGGAAAATCCCAGCGGGGCCAGCCCCTGGCCCCTTCTGGGGAATTGAACCAAGGGGCCCTAAGGTTCAACCCTCAAAGACAAAACAGGATGACAGTTCCCTCCCCCGAACAGCCTCAGGAAGTGCAGGACTGGACCTCTGTGCCTCCACCACTACAGTACTGACCCCAGAACAAGGCTTTCAGCTTATATCCACCAGCACTCACGGGCCCCTTCCTCCAAATATGTTTGGCCTTGTCATAGGCAGGGGCGGTAATCTCTTCACTGGTCTACAAATAGCCCCAGGATTAATTGATAATAATTATGATGGCCCAATCACACTTTTGGCTCTCTCCACACTCGGGCCAATAACAATTAACAAAGGAGACAGAATTGCCCAGCTCCTGCTGTTCCCCTTCAGTGTTTCAGACCCCACAGGTGCCTCTAGCCCACAAACCTATACTTCCAAAATATATTGGACACAAAAAATTACCACTGAGAGATGCATGCTTACATTATACTTAGACAACAAACCCTTTCAAGGATTAATTGACACTGGAGCCGATGCTACTGTCATCGCTGAACAATATTGGCCTTCAGGCTGGCCCAATTCTACCTCCATAACTCATTTAAAAGGAATAGGACAAACTACAAACCCCAAGCAAAGTTCAAAAATAATAACATGGAGGGATGATGAGGGTAACACTGGACAAATTCAACCTTATATAGTACCTGGATTGCCCTTTAACCTTTGGGGCCAGGATATTATGGCACAAATGAAGCTTCTCATGTGTAGTTCTAATGAAATCATAACCCAACAAATGCTAAAACAAGGATATTTACCCGGACAAGGACTAGGAAAAAATTCACAAGGCATAAGACAACCCATAAAGCCCTGTCAACATCCTACCCATCAAGGACTGGGCTTTAAAATTTTTTAACAACGGCCATTGCCCTCCCTGTACCCCATGCAGACAAAATAAATTGGAAAACTACAGATCCTGTATGGGTGGACCAATGGCCACTAACTATGGAAAAATTAGAAGCAGCCAGCAAGCTAGTACAGGAGCAATTAACGGCTGGCCACATAGAACCAACTACTTCCCCCTGGAATACTCCTATCTTTGTTATAAAAAAGAAAACAGGGTCATGGAGGCTTTTACAAGATTTGAGAGCCATTAATCAGACCATGTACCCCATGGGGGCCTTACAACCTGGCCTCCCTTCTCCTGTTGCCATCCCTTCAGGATATTTTAAAATTATTGTAGATCTCAAAGACTGCTTCTTTACTATTCCTCTTCACCCCTCTGATCGAGAACACTTCACATTTAGCCTACCTGCTATTAATTTTAAAGGACAAATGCAACGTTATCAATGGAAAGTCCTTCCACAATGCATGACTAATAGTCCTACCTTATGTCGGAAGTTTGTTGCGCAAGCTGTAGACCCCCTTCGTTCTCAATGGCCTAATATTTATATAATTCACTATATGGATGATATTTTGTTAGCAGGAGCCGTTGCTTCCCAAGTAATTCAATGCAGCCAAGCCCTCGCAAAACAACTTTCTCTT